TTTTTTTCATGTCTTACATTGACTGATGTCTCCCTTCACCCACTTTTCTATTGTCCATCCCCCAGGGAGGGGGTTATATGTTGATCCTTGTGATCGGTTCCCCCTATCTCCCCCCACATTCTCCTTACCCTCCTGGTATGGCTACTCTCATTATTGTTCCTGAGGGATTTATCAGTCTTAGATTCCCTGTGTTTCCAGCTCTTATCTGTACCTGTGTACATGCCCTGGTCTAGCTGGATTTGTAAGGTAGAATTGGGATCATGATGGTGGGTGGAATGAAGCATTAAAGAACTAGAGGAAAGTTGTATGTTTCATCACTGCTATACTGTACTCTGACTGGCTCATCTCTTCCTTGTGACTCTTCTGTGAGGGGATGTCCAATTGTCTACAGATGGGCTTTGGGTCTCCACTCTGCACTTGAGGGGAGGAGATAGCGAAGAACTAGAGGATAATTATTTGATTCATCAGTGTTATACCGCACCCTGGACTGATCATCCCTTCCCTGTGGCCCTTTTGAGAGGGACTGTCCATTTAACTTGCAGGTGGGTTTGGGGTCTCCACTGCATCCCCACCCCTTCACATCAATTTGATTTCTTGTTTTTGTACTTCTGAGACCATTCTCTGTCTGCACCTCATGATCACACAGGCTGGTGTGTTTCTTCCATGTGGGCTGTGTTGCTTCCCTGCTACATGTATGCTTATTTGACTACAACCCTTTAAGACCCCAGACACTACATCTTTGAATAGCCGGGCACCATCAGCTTTTTTCACCCCATTAGCCAATGCCCCATTTTATCTCCAGCGATTACGTCAGGAAGGTAAGTATCATACAATGCCACGTTATTAGAACAAACTGATCTTGTACTAATGTAAGATTTAAGTAGAGGCCCAAAGTCCATCTGCTTCCTTGTTGCATTTGCATTTATTTACACATATAAACAAATATACTTATATTTAGATAATTATTCTTATGTATACATACATATGTATACCTATACATATATTTTTTACTCTTCTTTTCTTTTTTCTTTCCTCCTGCTCCACGATCATGTTTACCTATCGTTCACCTCTTAGTAATTCCTCTCAGATACAATTGTATTGATCAAACATGACCAGAAAAGCTACGTCCTCCTCAACATCCAAGGCACAGCTTTTAATGATTCGATTGCAATTCCAAAATAGGACTGGGGAAACATGAGTGATTTGGGAAGTGGGTCATGTGTTTGTCACACAGGTGGTTGGGGGTGTGTGCACAACAGAGACCATCACAGGATAAAAACACGGATGTAGACACATTGGTTTATTCAATACAACGATGTTTTGAGGAGCAGCCATCAAAAGGAGAAAGTCTCCCTGGGAGCCACAGGTGGCCTCCTGAGATGCAGGTGTACAACCAGATTCAGCAGGCCCAGGGCGTTTTGTCACTTGTCAAGATCAAACCTGTTTTGATTTTCCTTTGGAATTGGGTTGAGTCTTGGGGCCCACACATGCTGTCATAGGGACGGAGCTGGGGCACTTTGCTTTGAGCACTGGGGTGGTCTCAGAATGCGCTGTCATACCAGTAAGCAGGTCCCTTGAGGAGCTCATTGTTTCAGCAGGATGGAGAGCAAGGGTGGCTGCCTGTGGGACTGAGCACATCTGTTCTCAGCGGGCCTCAGCCCTGTCCACTGAGCCCCTAGCTTGCCCAGAGTCACCACTCTGTCCTACATTCCAGACTTCCTCAGGAGCCTTACCAGCTACCACCACCCATCTCTCACTTTGTCACCCTGAGAGCTTGAGTGTGACTGTGATGCTGGCAGGTATGCCACCAGTATTTTAAATACCAGCAAGTCACCATGGTGGACAGGCTTCAGTGGAGCTTCTTGACAAAGATGAACCAGGAAGATCTGCTTTGAAAACGCACCGATGGGAACCTTATGTATTATAGCAGAAGATTGTCCGGTCAAGTGCTGGCAGTGAGTCCCATTCACTCCGGCTTTATTCACTTATCTAACAAATCCTTAGCAAGAATTCTGCCTTGTGCTGAGAATCTTCCAGATCAGGTGACCATGATTTGTTTGCAGAGGTAACATCTACGAAAGAAAACTAAACCAGTTGTTGTCAATTCCGTTCCAGGTCACAGTGACCCCGTGTGGAGGAGCGGCGCTGCTCTACAGGGTTCTCAAGGTCTTGAACTTTCAGAAACAGATCTCTAGGCCTTTCTTCTGAGACTCATCAAGATGAGTTTAATTTGCCAACCTTTTTGTTAGCAGTCAAGCACTGAGCCATTTTCAGCACACAGGGAATTCGCAACATCTACAGAGACAAATGTGAGAAGACACCAAATGGAAACAAGTGGGCTAGTCTGGAGAGTAGTGGTTTCCCCTGTGGATGGAGTGTAGGTGAGACTGGTCCCTGGAGTAACACAAAGCTGTGACTTTATGTAGAATGCGGAGGCTGTATCATGGAGCAATGAGGTCCGATGACCATCTTAAGCAGGACATCCACATAAAACATTCAATGTGGCCACTGAAGAGTGTGTTATTACTGGAGTTTCCCTCCGGTCCTTTTTCAGCCTGATGGCCCAATAGAAGGCTGGTGGGATTAGAACCAAGGCTTGGAGTCCATGTGTAAACTGAAAATAGCAACACTTGACTTACCTACCTACCAAGGAGACATGGAAATGATAGGACATTCATTCAATCAATCATAAGGTCTTTAGACAGTCGGGCTTCATAATATTATTTTCAATATGATGCCATTTTTCTCATTACCACATCCATCCCTTATGTAAGTATCCTTGTAGAGAAAAGGAAACAGGCGGAAGTGGCAGAGCCTGGCCCAGAGCTCATGTGAGGCCAGACAGGAAGTTGAGCAGTCTTGCCTGGCCCCCTGGCCGGTGCCAGCGAGCAGACAGATCTGCCCACAAACCGCACTCGCAAACCCCAGAGGGGCCCCAGGAAGCACCCAGAACGGCCGGCTGCAGGGTTGCTGGGTTTGCCCACGGAGGTGGGACACAGGCTGCCCCCCTCTTCAGAGAATGGGAGTGGTTCCCAGGTGACTCATGGGAGTAAAATGCACAAAGGCCCAAGAAACAACCAGCATTCATTGCAGTGAGTCAAGGGCCAGCTCCCATATTGTGTCGGCGCTTATCTCAGGATCAGAAGAGGAAACAGAAAGGCTGGGCTGGATGGCTCTCATCACGAGCGCAAGCCTGCCCACTTTGCTCCCTGTGAGAACACTGTCCCATGGAGATCAGCTTAACTGGTAAGGGAGATCACCAGTCAAGTGACGGTGGCCAATGTCTCCCAGAGGAGCCCTGGTGGTGCAGTGGTTACATGGTCAGCTGCTAACAGAAAGGTTCAAGCCCAGCAAGAGGAGCAAGCTGGGAAAGTGTGCTCCCATGAATACTTACGGCCCTAGAAACCCCACAGGCAGTTCTACTCCATTCTACAGGGCCCTTGAATTTGAATCCACTCCATCAACTGCATGCAGTGGGTTTGGGTTCAGTTGAGTTTAATGGTGTTAGAAGGAGCAAGATAAACCAGTCTTAAAAGAAGTATGGCCAGAATGCTCCTTCCAGACAAGGATGACAAGACTTTGTCTTACGTGCTTTGGAAACATCAGGAGAGACCAGTCCCTAGAGAAGGACATTTGGTAAAGTAACGGGGCAGGGAAAAGGAGAAAGACCTTGGACAAGATCGTTGACACAGTGGCTGCATCGATGGGCTCAAAGAGAACAACTCTGAGGATGGCACAAGGCCAGGCAGTGTTTGGATCTGTTGTACACGGGGTCGCTGTGAGTCAGAACCCACCCAACGACCCCTAAGAACAACAGAAGGCGCAACGGTAGCACTATGGTTAAGCAGCCAGCTGCTGACCAAAGGGTCACTAGTTTAAACCCACCAGCTGCTCCACAGGGAAAGGTCAGCTTCCGTAAAGATTTACAACCTTGGGACTCTCATAGGAGGTTCTTTCTCTCATCTAGGGTAGCTGTGGGTTGAAATTGGACTCATTGGCAGCAAGTGTGATTTAATGTCGCTAGAAAGCGAAGATAGAGTAATGGTCGTGAGCCAGCTCTAATGAGGGCTGGAGTCAGGTAGCTATTTTATCCCCAGTCTGCCAGCCGCCAGCTCAGGTACCCAGTACTACACAGTGGAAAGAACGATAGTAGCTACTCTGTACACTGTTCATGAAGATGAGCTTAATAAGCAATTCATTATGTTTGAGCTTTAGAACCATACCTAGAATACAAGAAGCCCTCAATAAATGTACCTGATGTGAGGTTAAGAATATGTACGTTCAGTATACTTGAGCTTACCTGTGGTCCTTATTGGCTAGTTTCTTGCAACAGGTACGTTCCACCTCCTGTTGTGCTTGGATCCCAAGCTTCACCTCTGTCCCTCCCAGTCCCTGCTTCTCCATCTGCGCCTGGGAGATCGTCCACCCTTCCCCTTCCTGGATGCTTTGCCCTCACGGCTTCTCAGGAGCTGGGAGAGCCATGAATTCCAGAGGACCGTGGGAAGCAGGAGGGTGTGGTAAAAGCCACACCTTTGCCCCCCAGCTCAGACCCTAGCTCATGACTGTCCCTGGACTCGACTCCATCCATCTCACACAAAGAATAGCAATGCCTTACAGAGAGTGGGAATCTCAGCTGTCACATTCCCGGCGTATAGGAGACACCGTGTGATGCCAACGAGCTGGAGATGTGGCAGGCAGATCCTGGCCCCATTGTGTGACCCCGAGCTGGATTCACAACTATGAGATGGAGGTGGCGTTCTCGTGGCCATCTCCCTTGCTTCATAGGGTCAGTCAGTCAGTGTGTGTGCAGGGCTTAGGTAGCGTTCAGTAACTGTCACCGAGTATGTTCTGATCAATGGCATGCCACGATACACCTGAGACCTGGAGCCAGCGTGTGCAGGAGACAGTGCTGTTGGCACTAGCCCCCAGAGTAGAGACCAGAGCCGGTCTTTCTCACCCAGACTCAAGTCAACAGTGTGTCTTCTGCTTCCATCCTACAGGGCTCTATGTGCTGGTTGGAGCAGGGGCCCTAATGATGGCCGTGGGGTTCTTTGGGTGCTGCGGAGCCATGCGGGAGTCACAGTGTGTTCTCGGATCAGTAAGTGGGGGCCGGAGGTGGGGGAGCAGCAGGGAGTGTGGTCTGAAGGGAGTCTGGCCTCAGCCCCAGCTGCCTACAAACTCCCTGAAACCTTGGCAACTCACTCCCTTTTCCTGCGTCTGGGTTTCTCCTGCTCTTGCAGAAGAATGATATTATCTTTGTACTTGCCTCGTACAAAGAGTGTGAAAATACATGAGCCATTAGCATGAAGATGCTTGCTTGGCTGTTCACCAGAAGGCCCGGGGTTCGAACCCACCCAGCTGCTCCCGTAAAGCTGTCCAGCCTTGGAAAGCCTGCTGGGGCAGTTCTACTCCATCCTAGAGGGCCCTGTGAGTCCGAATTGACTCCACAACCACGGGGGTTTGTCCACGGTGATGATTCCAAAAAGCAGTAGTTCACCGTGGGTAAAACCACAAAAAGATTCCCGTGAGCCAGGGAAGTGCTTTTTCTCTTTATCAGAAAAACACTTCTGTTTGAGGTCAACAACTTAAGCAGACATTCCCTTGTGCCTTTTTTTAAATTTTTTATGAGCAGCCACTATTTAAAGAAATATACCTCAAATGGTCTCAAGTAACTATGACACCTCACAGGTGGCCCCACAAGAAACGAGGAGAAGAAAGGACAGGGTCAGACTGGGAGCAAAAACTCCATCAGGAGGCCTCCCCATGCTTGTTGCAGTCCCGATCTTTCAACTGCGGCTGCTTATTCCAATCTCTGGCTCCGTGAACTCCCCGAACCCATGCACATCCTCTGCCCACGGTTCTTTCTCTTCCCCCACTGGTGCTGAGCTCTGCTCAGGGTCTCGCTGCCCTTAGTTGGACCAGAACAAAGCCTGAGAGACCCAAGGGCCTCCCCTCGCCTGTACTCCCCTTCCTGTCCTCTGAGAGGCCTTCTCTCTGGGACACACCACCCTCTCCCAGCCCGGGCCCCACAAGTCGCTCCCGATCTCTGACCTCGCTCTGTGGCATCCGACCTGTTCATCCCGTGTTCGTCGAACGCGCTGGTGCAGGCACTGTCTGCAATGACCCTAGTCACCTTTTTATTGATTTGCTTGTCACGTCTTCCTCCCCCTGAAACAAGGTCCAGGCTTAGTAGACGAGAAGCCCTGGTGGCTCAGTGGGTTATGTGCTGGACTGCTGGCCATAAATAAGGTCAGCTGTTCAACTCCACCAGCCGCTCCAAGGAAGAAAGATGAGGCTATCGCCTCCGGTCAACATTGACAGTCTCAGAAGTCGGAGCGGTGCAGTTCTACTCTGTCCTGTAGGGTCGCTGTGAGTCAGAAGTGACTTGCTAGCAGAGGGTTTGGAGAGCAGAGACGCTGGGCTCCTATCTTATCCATCACTGTACGCCCAACACCAAAGACAGAGTAGCTGCTCAATAAACCACTGCTCAATGAATGGACACACTACCCCAAACGGACTCAGCTGCTATGTGAAGGGGACTGAGGGGGCAAATGGGTCCTATGGATCCATTCAAACAAATAACTGCTTACCGGTTCCCAAATAGAAGGGGATCAAATGAAGTACATGTTTTCTCTCCTCTACAGTTCTTCACCTGCCTACTGGTGATATTTGCTGCTGAAGTAACCACTGGAGTATTTGCTTTTATAGGCAAGGGTATAGTAAGTAAAAATGACTTACGATATTTTCTGTATGATGATTGAAGTATGCTCTTTATATTATATCGAAGGCTATGAGAATATCAATGCCATGATAATATTAAGAAGCCAGATAGTCACCAGAATTATCACGGAAGTAGACGTTCTTGACCTCGAAGGAATGGACAAACGGAACCTAGAACCTAGGTGACTAAGAGCACACCCCTTACTGCATGGGCCTCTGTTGCTGGGAGGACAGCCCACGGCGCTCATCACGTTTATGAGACGGTCCGTGATGCAAAGAAGAATAAGGATCTCTAGTTTCATCCGACGTGAAAGGGCGTGGTCAATTGGAAACATTCTCACCCTTTGTTAGAGGTAGACTGCTGCTTGTCCTTGAGACCTAGCCTGGGCAGAGCCAGCTGCGCCGTCCTCCGAGCATGAAGCCCGACCTATTACATGCATGGCAGTGGGCATGGGCTGCCTGAAGGTAGTTAGTTGTCCACAGCACACGGGCCTTCTCAGGGGCACAAAACAAACAGAAGGAAGAATGGAATCTTTACTGTATTTCACATAGCTTCATGCGTCATCGATGTTGTATTTACGAACTTATTTTAGCTAAGGGAAAAATGGTACAAAATATAGAATAAGTAAATAACCCCTCCTTTAGACTTGTTTTAAAGCAGCTGGTGATATTTG